GCACCGTGTTCCACATCTGCATCTGTTACATGGCGGCCCGCGGTGAGGAACTGCATCTCTTCGCAGTGCCCTGCATGATGGCTGACTTTTGCAATGCAACGCTCCGGTGCTGCTATACTACACATTCCTAATATGCGGTTTCAGCCGCACATGCCGTACACAAAGCACCATACACCCGTGAATGTGAAGCACCAGGGCATGCGACCGCGAGTACACACAACGTGTGTGCACGTGAATGTATGACCGCATGAAACCGTACGTGTAGTACTGCAAATATTTGCCGAACGCAAGGATGTGAGATGTGAGGTGTGACGGTGAGACATGTATGTGACAAGGATGTATGGTGGGGATGTGAAGTGTGAGGATGCAACAAAGATGTGAGGTGTGAGGATGCGACAACTGGGGCCGTGACAGACTGGGACTGTACTCATGCATCATGGGGATGCGACACGGCCCCATGTATGCACTACAGTGAGGCGGTGAGGACAGGCACCCGCCCAGACGTGAGAATGCAACGGCACTAGAACACGAGAACACAAGCATGCGTCCAGGGCGTGGCAATAGCTGGGTTCTGCTCATGACGACCATCAAATGCAGGATCGTCCGCGCAGACTGCTGTTACTCCGCTGCTGACGATGCTGCCACCGCGGTGATTTCATGCAATTAGTGTGATGCGAGCCTAGGCGGCATTATTCACTTCACCGCTCACAATCCGCGGACATTCCTTGTGCCGTGCTGCTATCAGGGCCCCTCATCGATTGTTGTTATGGGTCGTTGCTGTTGGATGCCAGACGTGAACCTTGAGAATGACCTTCTGCTACGGCACTGCTGGCTGTGGCTTGCTACTAAGCCACCCTCCATCACAGATGTAATGTAACTGAGTCCTCGCCACTGCTTCCCCACATTATTACCGTTCTCACCTACGCACCACACAGCACCTTACGCACCACACACCCACACCTGGCCTGGGAGTCGAAGCTACGGTCACCGTAGCTTCTCGTAGCGCAGCGAAGAGCGAAGCGGAGGGAAGGCATCTCTGAATCGCGTCCGTGACCGGCTCGCGTCCGGGGCTCGTTGGAAAGTCGCGCTCGATTGGATGGTTCCGGAGCTTTGCGTTTTCGTTAGCGCGCGCCCTCTTCACAATCAGAGGTCGCGGGTTCGAGTCGCACTCCGCGAGTTTCGAGTTGCACACCGAAACGCGAGGATGCGAGGACGACAGGTCGCGGGTTCGAATCTCGGGTCGCACACGACTTGCAGGCGAGGATGCTAGGACACGAGGACACCAGGACGTGAGGACGCGAGGATGCAAGGGCACATGGACGCGTGAGCGTGTGGGCATGTGGGTGCATGGGACGGTGGCACCGTGGATGTAGCCACATGTGGATGTAGCATGGACGCGTGGACGCGGGACATGAGGATGTAACATGGGCGTGTGCATGAAGCTTGGACGCGTGCATGTGTACCGTGAACATGTGGGCGGGGACACACGGATACTGGGCCGTCAGGCCATGGGGACGACTGGGCACGTGGTGGGTAACGAACAACAGACGCGCATAGTTGTGTTGTTTGACATGAACTTGCAAGGTTAAACGTTTATCACAAAATATCAGGATAACCGGGGACGCCTGGGCGTGGCTGTGGGTAGTTCCACGTAGTTCCACTGTGGGACAGGACTTGCAGTGGAAAACTAGACTACAATGGCTCCGCCACGAAATGACGTGAAGCCGCGCACACCGCAACGTTCCCCGGGATAAATTCAGTCGCAGAAATTCTATAGAATCATACGGATTCAGAATACATTCTATCAACCAGTGATGCTGCGCAGCACAGTTATTGTATAGAAGTAATGTGTGCCATTGGCCCTCGAGTGCATTTATTAATTTTGTCAAACGGATCCAGGATAAAATTTATCATACGGATTCAGGATACAATTCTACCAAACAGCGGTACTGCGCAACATACATCCATATTGTATCGATGTACTGTGTTCCATTGGCCCGCAACTGCATTTCTTGAGGATAGGAGGATAACCTGTCGCGACATCAGTCTGACCGGCCATTTCTATGGACAATTCTGGTTCCGGTAAGGAGTCCTGGTTGGGACTGGTGCCCGTGATGTTGCTCCATCTCCTGCATGGGCGGTAGACTAGTAATCCTCTTCCTGACATCACGCAGGATGTCGGCGGTTAGGTACAGTTGCAGGTGGAGGCTTGTGGCTTCTGAGCTTGACGGGCCGGACTCAAGCCACACCTTCCCCCCCGACACCCCAGCTGTCCAGTGCGGATGCAACCAGAAAGGTGCAGGCGCGAGCCAACCGGACGCCTGAGCAAGTGGCGGTGGATCGAGCAGCAGCTGCAGCGTGATGGGCAGATGCACGAGCCAACCGGACACCTGAGCAAGTGGTGGCGGACCGAGCAGCAGCTACTGCTCGGTGGGCGCGGTGGTCGGAGGC